GGGCTTGGCGCCCTGGCTTTTCCCGCTTCTGACTTGCAGCATCGACTTCATGGTCTTCCTCATCCTTTTGGTGACCACGACGGCGTCAATGGCACACACGATCGTCGCCACGAGACACAGGGTCTGTGGGCGCAAGACCACAAGTGGGAAGCACCGGGGTGGGGGGGCTGGGGTGGGGGAGTTAGTTGGCAGCTGCCCCGCAGCACCCTCTCATCCCCAGCCCCTGGAGCTGGGTGGGGGAGAAGGAACCTGTCCGGACCGCCTCCTCCCCAGCCCCCTCTCCTCTCCGGCTTGGCTCTGCCTGGAGGCTGAGCCTCCAGGAGGCTGGTGGGGGATTGCTGCTGCCCTCAGGGGCCTCTGCGTCAGGTGGGTGTGCCACCTGCGGCTGTTTTGCGGGACACCACCTGGGCCCCCGGAACTCCAGGCACTGAGGCGGGGCTGGGAATCCGGAACCCAGGAGCTGAGGTGGACGGGGCAGAGTGGGCACTGGCTGGGGAGCCCCTGGTGATGAAAACCCCACTTGCAATGGCCGAAAAGTGAATGGCGCCCATGAGGTGGGTGAGACCAGTGCCCCCTGCGCCTGACTGGCTTGGGTGCTTTCTCTGGGAAGCCCCCACCCCCACCCCTCCAGCCCAGGGAAGGGACTCTGTTCCCCATGAACAGAGGTCAGGCCGGCACAGTCCTATGGGCTGGTTAAGTAGTGACTGCCTACAGAATGACTTCTTTGAATGGGAACTTTGTTCCTGGATTAGCTTCAGTCGCCACAGTGTCACCCTGCCACCTCCCACCCCAGCTTCCCAGCATTGAAGCTCCTCCCTCCAATGAAGGGTTGAGTTCTAATGTGTCCCAGCCTTGTGGCCCCGGGCAAGGCATTTCATGTCAGCTCAGAGAGGGTCAGAATGTGACCAGTCTGGAGTGGGGTGGGTGGTGAGGCAGGTGCTGGGCACTGGATGCTCCCAATCCTGGGCAGTCCCTCTCCTCCCACCCTTTTCCCCTGGCTGGGCCAGTCACTCCCGGTGGACGCTGACAATGTCCCAAATGCACCTTTCCCCTTCTCTGCTGCCTCGCTTTCATTTGCCTTGAAAAGACAATTCTCAGATGTGAGAAAAGGAGAAAACAAAATCCATGTGCTGTTTTTAGATGAGGACAGTTTGTCCCAACATTTCAGAAAGGAGTGTGTTCGGTTTTCTGGAAGAGTTCAACAGACTCTTGGTTCTC